CCACTAGTCAAGAGTGCGGTGGGAAGAGTGGATACCCATTCAATCGCCATTTTATAGGCAATTTCCTTAAACACCCCTTATAGACCAGCTTCGTGAATGAGGCCTACTAACGGTAAGACTGACTCTTACTCATATATATAATATTAGACTTTTAATGTTACATATATATAGTATAAGGTGTATTTTACTTTTTTAAAATACTAGGTGGTTTTATTAACTTTCTCTTTTAATTAAACTTTTATTAACTTAACAAAACCATGAGGGTGTAATTGAATTTTTCAAAATAGACTAGTTTAGAATTTAAATATTACATAATTAAATTATTAATCAAAATTTTAAATTCAAAACTTGAGGCCAGTTTGAAACATTCAAAACATTAGGTTTAGAATTTAAATATTTCAACATTAAACTTTTAATCAAAATTTTAAATTCCAAACTTGAGGGCAAGTTCTGAAACTTTTCAAAACATTAGGGTTTTAACTATTTAAATTTAAAACAAAACTTTTAAGTTCAAATTTAAACTATAAAAACCTAAAGGGAGTAATTTGAAACTATTCAAACTTACTAGGATCAAATAACAAATAATATAAATCAAACAATTAATTTAGTGATTATCTATATTTGACCTAATCCAATTTTAGTCACAAGATAATTACCAAATAATTTGAATAATCTATATTTTATCTATAAAGAAACTATTATTCAAAAGATTTGAAATTATCTTTGTTTTGGTAAGGATAATCTTACATACAATAAAATTCGGATTTTATTATCAAAAAACGATTTTGGCATCAATCCTACAGCAAAACAACAAGTAAATCCCGAAATATACTCTGTCAGACTCCCGGACTCGCCGAGTCAGTCCTGAACTCGCCGAGTAGGGCCAACTCGCCGAGTCCAGATACTGACTCGCCGAGTTGAGTCGGGCAGAGGAAAAAAAAATTGATTTTCAGCAGAAAAACGACAATTGCATCACATACAACAGAAACCAATCAAGGCTTTGATACCACTAATGAGTTTTAAGCATAAGAACAATCCTATGTGCTCATACAAACCCTAATGCTTGGATCTAGGTTTCTCTATTGTACATGCAATGAATCCAAGACTTACAAACCCTAGATCTATCAAATAAGAACTGAAATAAGGGTTTAATAATTACCTTTGATTGTTATATAGCAATAATAATCAATCCTTGCTTTGATTAGCTTCAGAAAGTTTAGTGCCTCAAGTGTTGCACCTCTAATGGAGTCACAAACACCACTAAGCAACTTGGATGAAGAGGGAGGAGAGAGGAGGCACCAAAAACGGCTGGAAACCCTAAATGATTACTTGTCCATGTTTTTGGGGCATAGGGGTCCTATATATACATGTAGGCTATTAGGGTTTACAACTAGGAAACCCTAATCTGACTGCTTAAGCCCTAAGCAGCCCATGGACCCTTCTGGAACAGCCTTGGACGATTTCTAATGGACTTTCCCATTAAATTCGTCCAACCTATTATTCCAAGGTGATCCATAGCCCAATTATATAATTATCTTATAATTACACAACAAGTCCCTTAAGTTTAATTAATCTCTTTTAGCCACAAAATTAATTCTTAATTAATTCTTGACTAATATCAATTAAACATTATGATTTCTCCTTTAATATATTATTCTTATAATATATTAATAAATCATAATTAAACCTTTCTCTCCTTAATTCATCCTACATATTGCTATGGTGAAGGCAACCCAAAAGGACCATGTTCATAATCGGGTCAAGTACATATCAAAATAGTTATGGACTTAGACACTAATCCAACAGCTGTGAGTCGTGGGTGATGGGTGCGGGTAGGAAGTATGGTTACCTTTGATGATGTTTACTAGTTTTTTGGTTGCATGGCTTTTTGTTATCTGCATGACTTTTGGATGCTATGTTTGATGACTTTTTTGGATGTTAAATTGGATGATGTTTACTAGTTTTTTGTTATATGACTTTTGTTACTTTGGTTGATATGTTATTGGATATTGAATATGACTTTTTCTTATATGACTTTTGTTACTTTGGATGATGTTTACTAGTTTTTTTGGTGCACAATTTTTTTTTTACTTTAACATGTTACCTAATTGTTTGTAACATGTCAAGTATGGTTTCTGATGGTGAAGTTGTAGTTTTTCTTTTATTTGTGTGTTTATTGGTTGAGGTCAAACTGGCGCAGGCTAATCAGAATTCATAGAATTAGAGATAACGATTCAAGCGGGTATGCGTATACGCAAGATTTGATGTACGGAGACCCTATACAATGTTTCGATTTGATGTGTCTTACACACGAGGCATTTGCATTATTAAGCAACCATTTTACCCAAAAAATTGGTTGCAAGCTAGTAGGACAATAAGCATTGAAGAGAATATAGCTATGTTCTTACATGTTATAGGACATAACGAACCAGGGAAGATTTCATCACTCCACACAAACGATTCATCAATGTTTTCACGAGGTCCTAACTGCAATGATGTATTTTGCAAAAGAAATTATAGTACCAACAACTCCTAATCCAACAAGACATAACTCGGGACGACATAGACGGTTAAAAGAGATTTTTTTCCTGAGCAATAGGTGCATTAGATGGAACTCTTGTACATGCGGTTGTACCCGTTGATCAACAAACTCGTTATAGGGGAAGAGGAAAAGGAGAATGTTTTAAAAATGTAATAGGAATTTGTGATTTTGATATGATATTCACCTTTGTTTGGGCTGGATGAGAGGGTATAGCACATGATTCAAGAGTTTTGAAAGAAGTTGCATTCAATTCGACTTCTGGATTTCCATTTCCTTCACCAGGTATGTAATCTTTATATAACTTTTATTATCTATCTTCTTTATATAATATGTGTCACACTCATTTGCAGATAAATATTACCTTTGTGATGCCGCATATACAAACACTTGTGGGTTTGTGCCCCATACCGCAATACTAGGTATTGGTTAGCCATTTTCGAAGAGGCAGACCTTTAACTAGAGAAGAAAGGTTCAATTATGCCCATGCACAACTTAGAAATGTTATTGAGCGTGCTTATGGTGTATTGGAGGCGAGATTCCCAATCTTAAAACAAATGACTCCTTATCCTTATAGTGCAAAGAGACATAGTCATTGCTTGTGTCGAGGTCCATAATTTTATAAAGAAATACAATATAGAAGATGACTTGTTTACAAAATTTGAGGAGAACACTATGGTTACTCCTGACGTCCAAGGTGGGGGAATTGATAGAGAAAACATACAAGGCATAAAATGGGGTCCAGAAGCCATCCAATATATGCGTGTTTTGCGTGATTAGATTACAAATCAACTACTTTCACCTACTTTACATTAAATTATTATGTTATTTTAAATTTCATTACGTTTTTATGTGGATATTAATGATTTATTTTAATTTACATTTTGTATGACAATTTTTATTTGGATTTTTAAATAACTTGTGTGTAATTTACATTTTGTATGTCAATATGTATGTTTTTATAATTATTCAGCAACTTCATCCATCGTTATATACAACAGCAAGGTAAAATGATTATTTTTCATCAGTCAGTACATTCAGTCAGATGTACAATCAAACAACATGATTTCTTACTCAGTCAAAATTTCTTACCCAGACATATATTTTCCAATCAGCACTTTCTCAGTCAGCATCTATCAAACGGGGCCTTCATCTTTTAGATTGAAGATCTCATGTTTTAATATGGGGTTGGCGATTTCTATAAATTCTGTGCTAACCACCAACTAGCCATTCAAAATAAAATAAAATTAAATTAATGGCTGTTAAAAAGGAGAATTCAAAATTATCTAAAACATTGGTAATTTGTAAATTTTGCATTACTTTCGTTTGAACCATTTGGTTATTTGTATATTATAGGATTATTATATATATATATATATATAATATATATTCGATATATATATATCTATATTATATATTATATAAAAGAATCGTTTTTTTTCACCATATGTATTTAAAACCAAAAAACTCTTCATATTCCAATCTAAGATATATTATAGATATATATCTATATATATATATATATATATATATATATAAATTATTAAATGTGAAATATTAATGTTCAATGATTTTTTTAAATAGTGTAAAACATTTAAATGTTTTAAATATAAAACTAAATCGACATGTCGAATTTACTAAAAATATCTAAACTATTTTTTCATAATAACTGATTTTTTTTTCACATAAATGGTTTTTAAATCATAACCATTAACAATAATAATAATTAAAAATAACATAACCTTTAAATTACATTGCACTAACTTACAAAAATAAAATTAAATATGTAATTTATAAATTAGTTAATCATAACGTTAAAAGTAACATAAATCAAATATTATATTTAATTTTATTAATACGTTAACTGGAAGTAGTGGTCATTAAATGATATGATTTTAATAGATGTCATAATATAGTTCAAAATCATTACAATTTTACATGATAAATTAATGTAAGAAACTATTATTTCATGGTTATTATTAGTAACATAATTACTATTCTATAAAAAAGGTGAGTATTCGGCTAGTTTAAAAATATTGATAGGTTAATAGTTAAGAATATTATTGAATAATAATCACTTGGATTTTAAAGGCTATAAAAAATATCTTAAGTTCTAATATTCATATATTCAAAACTTTTTAGTGAACTATGAAAACTAAAGAGTTTATAGCCTAGCATTATGTGGTGTTATCATTTATTTTTTAGATTGAGAATTCAAGTCTTAATTGTGTACATAAATGAAATTTAAAAAGTAGTTTATTAGATTTACGGTTTAGAAAAAAAAACTATTTTTGAAAGAAAAAATCCATCACAAATAAAAGACAATACATTTTTTTTTTTTTTTTTTTTTTTGTTTTTTGGTTTTAATTACATAAAAACATTAACATACCAATCCGTTTATTTTGAAGTTGCATCTATCTCCCAAAAATCAACCGACGGTAATTTCGTTTGAGCTTAAGAAACATGGAAAATACTTCGTAAGAAGGAAGCATCGGTCGTTGCATTTCGCATATCGAGTACTAACTCAACATTTCTTTGCATCTTCAAACCCCACCCTCTTTCTCTCTCACTATTTACAGAGGTTGCTATCATTGGAGCAGAACCACCCTCTGGATCTTAATCTAAATCGACACTCGAAGGCCTTCAAATCTCTCAATTCGGACGGAGATTCGGTCTAGTTCTCTCTCTGTTCGAGTTGTCTTGCCGGATCTCCCACTGGGATCTTAGGGTTCAGGATTCAGTCACGGATTTCCAATCAAGAGGCTAAATTTTAATCTTCAACAATGGTGAGTTTGCAGTGTATTTTCTTGATTTGCATTTTGTTCAATTATGATTTAGATCCAGTGACAAATCTATATCCGTATGATCGTTGATCCAATCACATTATTGGAGCATTGTTCTGATTTACTTATGAGATTTAATAAACTACTCGGATCTGATTTACTAACCGAAAGTTCAATCTGTTTTATGTGTATTCCGCTTTGGGGCAGCCTCTCAGGCTCGAGATCAAGGTACTTTTAGCTATACAATTTGGATTAATTTTTGTTGTTAATTTTAGACACTTACTCGATAATCATGCTAATGAGGAGCATTTTCTGCAGAGGAAACTTGCTCAAAGATCAGAAAGAGTAAAATCCGTGGATCTGCATCCAACAGAGCCATGGTACGTATACCTGTTTCTTGTAATTGAGTAAATCTCAAATAGTCGTGCATTTTGTTAGGAAAGATCCAGCATACCTAGGCACGGATTACAGCTGCCGGGAACTTCATTCAAGTGGTTTTTGATTAATCTGTTAATGGACACTGGTACTTGTGTTTTTGCAGGATCCTCACAAGTTTGTATTCAGGAACAGTCTGCATCTGGGATTACCAGTCTCAGGTATGAAACTATATTAACAATTTAAAGGAAGGGCAAGTTCTAGTTAAAATACAGGATATTCCTAATTGCATATAGAATTCAATTGTCCCATCTAAATCGAACATGTTTTTAAGATGTATATTCTCTTGTATAAAGTATCAATGCAGTTGATACAGCTGAATCACAGAATATAGGGTTCAACATATTCCTTTCATATAGAAATCTGTCCCCATCCATCATAAATGGAGTTAATATTGTATCATTTGGTAGAACATTGAGTTTATAGATATTTAGTCAAAAGCATAGTTGGCAATACCTACTGGAAATGCAACCAAAGTTTTGGTCATAACTCATAAAAGGTATTGCTGCTAACATACAATTCGAACAGATATCGAGTAGCAGTTTATTTTGATGCACTATAAAGTGACTAATATTTACAGTAACTAAAGTTTGGTTTTGGTAACATAGTAGACTAAATAGCCGGTATCACCAATTATATAAAAGGTGATATAAATCTCTTTAGTGAAGAAAAAACAAGCATTTTATAATTTATATAGGTCAATGATCAAACTCCTTCATATATGTTTGTAGATTGTTTTACCATTATTTTCTTATAATACAAGTTCCAATACCATCATCTAATGTAAGCCTCATATCATATGCATTGTCACAGGCTATGGCAAAATCCTTTGAGGTTACTGAATTACCAGGTCAGAATACATATTTCCATACACAGTTTCAGCATGATTGGAAATTAAACTCAAACATCTGATGCTTACAAAATGTATTTACAGTCAGATCAGCAAAGTTTGTAGCCCGCAAGCAGTGGGTTGTTGCAGGAGCAGATGACATGTTTATCCGTGTGTACAATTACAATACAATGGATAAAGTTAAAGTATTTGAGGCACATACAGATTACATTCGGTGTGTGGCTGTCCACCCTACCCTCCCATATATACTTTCATCTTCTGATGATATGCTTATAAAGCTTTGGGACTGGGAAAAGAGTTGGTATTGTACTCAAATCTTTGAGGGACATTCCCATTATGTCATGCAAGTGACAATCAATCCTAAAGACACCAATACTTTTGCAAGTGCATCACTTGATCGCACCATAAAGGTAATCTTAGAGCATCTCTAATGGCAGTTTTTTTATTTATTTATTTTTTTTATTTTTTTTTTTATAGCTTTTTGCTATTGCATAACCATACTTAATACCATTGGAGTGGAACACTTTTTTGTTACTATTCTCCAACCACTTAATGGTCTATTGTAGACTTTGTAGTTTTACATTTCATCCCCTCATCTCAGTAACATATTCATATCACCCTTAATTATATTTTAATTTTAAATCTTTAGTGATTTTTGAGTAATTGTTTTTTCTTATTAAAGGGCAAATTACAAAAAAAAAAAAAACCATTGTGTTATGGGTAGTTTTTCAGTTTAACCACCAATACTTTATTTTTTTCAATCAAACCATAAAGTTTTAAGACATTTTTCCAAATTAACCCTTTTGAATGTTATATCTGGTCAAACTGGTTAATTTAGAAAATATCTAATACTTTTATGGTTTGATTGGAAAAAAAATAAAATATAAGTGGTTAACCGCAAAATTGCCCAAAGTATAGTGGTTTTCTGTAATTTGCCCTTTATTAAATATGCAAAATAAGAATGAATATTTCTTATAGAAAAAATATCATTAAAAAGCATTCATCAAGACAATCAAAATGATACCAAGCAATCATATATTATTTTTTTTTATTGTCTTTCATTTTTATAACTCCATACCTGATCACATTAACACCAATATACCTTAATAAAATGACATCAAGTTGCTTAAAAAAGACAAATTAGAGGAGGGGGATTTATAAAGCATTCAAATAGATGAGGATTAATGTTCAATTGGAGAAAATTTATAAAGATAGGTTTTTGTTATATGAAGTTAGTGAAAAGCTGATATGGCAAAAAGAAAAAGCTTTTCAAGATGTTAAGCATTGTGGATGCTTTTATAAGTTTTAATAAGAACATTTATGCAGCATTGTTTTTTCCTATTTTTCAGATATGGAATCTTGGGTCTCCTGATCCTAACTTTACACTAGATGCCCATCTCAAAGGAGTGAATTGTGTGGATTATTTCACGGGTGGTGATAAACCTTATCTAATTACTGGATCAGATGATCACACTGCTAAGGTCTGTTATGTCATTGTGCTTTCACCATTTTTAATCTTTTATAAAGTTTTATAATGTGGACTTACATTCTGGAATATTTGAAACAGGTATGGGATTATCAAACCAAAACTTGTGTTCAGACTTTAGAAGGTCACACACATAATGTTTCAGCTGTGTGCTTTCACCCGGAGCTGCCAATAATAATCACAGGTTCTGAGGATGGTACTGTACGTATATGGCATTCAACTACTTATAGGTATGTTCTGGTTCTATAATTACATTAAACTAAAAATACGCACCACTAGGGGGCTGTTTTTTTATCCCATTAAGTCCTAAATGGGGAAAGCGGCTGAATGAGTAATGATGTTGGTCTGGATGAAGTACTGTATACATAAGGTCTCTTTCTTTTCTAGACTGAATAAACTGTCTGAATGTGACTAAATCAATGGCCATTTTCACCTTACATTCCAGCAAACAATTTTCACAATATTCATCAGTTTTAACACAAGAGGAGTTGGGTGCCAAAAAGAAGGGTAAATAGGTAAAGGGTTTGTGTCTTAATAGTAATACATTAAGCCATGTTTTGTGGGATTAAACCGTTAAGTAAAAAAGAAACAACCATGTATCCAGATTAAGTGCTTAACCCAGTATATAGCTAATTAAGTAAAAAAGGAACATCCCCTAAATGTACAAGTTTCTTTTTCTGGTAAAGTCAGTGTATCATATTCAAAGTTTTGTAATTCTAAAGTAAAGTTCTAGTCATGTTGAGTTTATTTCTTTCTACATTTTCTGAAAATACTCACAAATTTCTATTTTTGTGCAGACTTGAGAATACTTTGAATTATGGACTCGAAAGGGTTTGGGCTGTTGGATACATGAAAGGTTCACGAAGGTAAGTATGTTTCTTGACTATTTTTGCATTCCTGGCAAACTACAGAAAAAGTCATTATGTTTTGGACAATTCTGCTATACTTTTTTTTTTCCCAATCCAACCGTTAATGTTTCAGACTTTTCTTCGAATTAACATCTTTGATCAGATGTAACAAGTCAAAATATTTATTTTGGAAAATTACCAGTGAAACTTGATATAACAAAATTACTGGTGAAACCTGATATAACAGGTCAAAAGGGTTAATTTGGAAAAATAAAGAATTGGTGAATATAATGTTTTTTTATGTACTCTTTTTGTAATTTTCCCTTGTTTTATTACAATTTTTTCAAGTGAAATATGTGGAGCAAGATGTTTGCAATCAAATTGTGTCATAACATTTCGGATGCTTGTTTATGACTCTTGTACCCTTTTCCTTTTGTACAGGATTGCTATTGGGTATGATGAAGGGACTATAATGGTGAAAGTTGGTAGGGAAGAGCCTGTAGTTAGTATGGATAACAGCGGAAAAATTATATGGGCTAAACATAATGAAATTCAAACTGTTAACATTAAGAGTGTGGGAGCTGATTTTGAGGTTTGTGTCCATATGCTTTTTTGTCTATTCAAAGATAGAAATAAAAAGGGTTTTTTTTCTTGTATTCCAGTTTCTGTCAAAATGACTGTAACTTATTTCCTTCTTTCATTCTCAGGTCTCTGATGGAGAGAGGTTGCCTTTAGGAGTTAAAGAATTGGGAACATGTGATCTCTACCCACAAGTGAGTTGTGCCTATTATGTCTTTTAGCTTCCTACCAATTGAAAATGAGATAAGAAGGACCATTTATGATAATTACTAAAGTATAGCGGGTAAGTTGGTCGTTTTTTGATTTTTGTATGTTTTGGTGTTGTTTGCAGAGCTTGAAACACAACCCAAATGGGAGGTTTGTTGTTGTGTGTGGTGATGGTGAATACATCATATATACAGCTTTGGCATGGAGAAACAGATCCTTTGGGTCTGCATTGGAGATCGTGTGGTCATCTGATGGTGAATATGCTGTTAGAGAGAGCACAACTAAGATCAAGATTTTTAACAAATCTTTTCAGGTTTGTGGACTTTCTTCCACCACATATCCTTAGAATTTATCAATTAGCTAAAGTGGGTCCACATTTGTTTATTTGGATATATTTCTTTATAAACAGGAAAAAAAGAGTATCCGACCAACATTTTCTGCTGAACGCATGTATGGAGGATCATTGCTCGCGATGTGCTCGAATGATTTTATATGTTTCTATGATTGGGCCGAGTGCAGATTGATTCAAAGGATTGATGTCAATGTCAAGGTAACCAACTTTTACCTCTTTAATTAGATGTCAACAACATGAACATATGAGTGATATTATAATATTTTTTTTATATGTTTCCAGAACCTTTACTGGGCAGACAGTGGTGATATGTTAGCAATTTCCAGTGATTCATCATTCTATATACTACAGTACAATGTAAGATCCTTATACACCCCCTTATGGTCTGTTTAGTTGGATGGAATGGGCAGGGTAATGAAATGAGTCGTTACATTCCAAGATCATTTTTGGTTGGGCTGTAGAAATAGAATGATTTTTTTACATTTATATGTAAATACAATGTATTAACTTTAACTCTATTCTATACATTATTTTAATTATCATTAACAAACTTTTACTCAGATAACTAAAACTCATTAAAACCTAAGTAAGTTATAATTAAAAATATTATTTGATAGTTATTTCATAATGAATAAAATAACAATTCAGTTAAAATAGTGAAAGTTTTAAAAAAGATTTGGTCGTTAGAAATTACACTTTACACAACTAAAAATGGGTTATATTGCAAGTGTTCATTCTATTCCATGATAGAATGAAAAAAAAAACACTAGTTAACAAAATGGAAGAAATCACACTCCTTTAATGGTCCATTCCATTCCATTGGGTAAACAAACAGGTCCTTTTTCCAATTCCATAATACACAATCTGTTATCGTGTTTTTCTTTATGTACTTATGTTTTATAAAAGTTACAATTAATATTTATAAATTTGGTTATATTTACAGCATGATGTAGTGTCTGCACATCTAGACAGTGGAAGATCTGTAGATGAGCAAGGTATTGAAGATTCCTTTAAACTTCTGTATGAAGTGAGTGAAAGAGTTAGAACTGGATTGTGGGTTGGTGACTGTTTTATTTACACTAATTCTTCATGGCGACTCAATTACTGTGTTGGTGGTGAGGTATGATTTGTCATCAATACTTTTCATAATACCTTAAAAACATCCAGATTTTATTAATTGACCTAATATTTCTTTTTCAGGTAACCACAATGTTTCATTTGGATCGCCCAATGTATCTTCTAGGATATCTAGCTAATCAAAGCAGGGTTTTTCTCATTGACAAGGAATTCAAGTGAGTAGACTTTGATGTTTGTATTTTTATATTCAGTAAATGACATTTTTGTTCACTGCATATATTTGCGATTTTGGCCCCTAAATAGTATTCTTTTGCAAATTTGGTCCTTATTTGAGTTTCTTGTAATGGTTTTGGTCCCTGAGTATAGCTGATTTTTTCGATTTTGGTCCCAAAAAACATAGTTGTTTTACTTGGAACAGGAAACGAAAACCACATATTAGGACCAAAATTGCAAGAGAAATTATTGGGCCAAAAGTTGAAAAAACCCAGCTATACTCAGGCAGGGTGCAAAAGCGAAAATGTAATTTACTCTTTTTATACATAATCTCAATTTTAACCTTTTTTATATTTTAGTGTCATTGGATATACGTTGCTGCTCACCTTGATTGAGTATAAAACACTTGTGATGCGTGGAGACCTAGACAAAGCTAGTACTGTATTGCCTTCTATTCCAAAGGAGCATCATAACAGGTATAGTTTATTATATTAAGAATTGAGATAAACCAAAGAAATTTAATATATGAATTGTTTTCAATAGTGTTGCTCATTTCTTGGAGTCACGTGGAATGATTGATGAAGCTTTAGAAGTTGCTACAGATCCTGACTATAGATTTGAACTGGCCATTCAGCTTGGTAAACTAGAGATTGCAAAGGTAAGCTAAAGATATAATACCATTATTTGACTTTATGAATCGTAATTAATAATAACATTTGTTTATGTGTATATAGGATATTGCACTAGTAGCAGAAAGTGAGTCGAAATGGAAGCAGTTGGGTGAATTAGCTATGTCTACTGGACTGGTATGTGTTAATTTCGGTATTTAATTTTGCCTTTGGTTCTAGATAAATAAATAAATCTAAAATAATAGTAATATGAAAACATTGCAGTTGGAAATGGCTGAAGATTGTTTGAAACATGCAAACGATTTAAGTGGTCTGCTTTTGCTGTATTCTTCTCTGGGAGATGCTGAAGAGATGGCAAAACTTGCACTTGTTGCAAAAGAAAATGGAAAAAACAATGTTGCTTTTGCTTGTCTATTTATGCTGGGTAAATTGGAAGACTGTTTACAGTTGTTGGTGGACAGGTTAGTTCTTCACGTTCCATACATCAATGAATATGAAGTTGGGCAATGAACATGATATGAAATTCCTAAAATACCCTTTCTATTTTTTTTTCAGCAACCGGATACCCGAGGCTGCTCTGATGGCCCGGTCTTATCTTCCAAGCAAGGTTTCAGAAATAGTTGCTCTTTGGAGAAAAGACCTTAACAAGGTTAATCTTTTATATTTTCTTTCATTTTATTTAGTTTTTGAAGTATTTTTATTTATGAAATTGAAATGCAGGTTAACCAGAAAGCAGCAGAATCATTAGCAGATCCTGAAGAGTATCCAAATATGTTTGAGGACTGGCAAATTGCACTTGAAGTTGAAGAAAGAGCTACAGAAACAAGGTTCTGTTTGCTTATGTTGTAACTTGAGCTCAATAATTATTATTATGTGCAACTTTCAAAATGTGGATATAAAATTAAAGAGTGTTTGTGTTTCCACTAAATATATTTTCAGGAGTAGTTACCCTCCAGCAGAAGAGTATGTGAATTATGTTGATAGATCACATGTGAATCTTGTGGATATTTTTAAACACATGCAGTTGGATGATGATGAACCACATGAAAACGGAGAGTTGGATCATGAGGTAACTTTGTGTTTATTTTTGTTAAATAAACAGCTCTTGTTATTTTTCCAATTTAAAAAAGACATTTTTCTTTGTGATGATACAGGAGGGTGTAGAAGAAAACGGAAATGAAGGGGAATATATTGATGGTCAAGAAGAAGAAGCAGCAGCAGCTGAAAATGCAAATACAAATGCAAATGCAATGGATAACGATTCTTCAGATGGTGCAGTTTTCGTTAATGGTAACGAGGCTGAAGAAGAAGAAGAAGAAGAGTGGGGTACGAATAATGCAGCAACTTCGTCAGCCTAAAAGCAATTGGTTGGGGCTAATTTTATTGCTGGTGATTAATTAATTGAATTTTCTCTTAATTGCCCTCATCTTTCAGCAAATCCAACTTAACTCCACTCCACTCCTCGTAATCGTATCAAATAACTTTTATCAAGTCTTTGGTATGCAGTAATCCAAAACGGAACGGAATTGAACATTACATTTACGCTAGTATAAAAAAAATCATGGTTGTTTGCCACATAGGACTGGAATGGCTTATTCCTTCTCCTAGGCTTAATTTCAGTCCATGAGGAGGGTTTTTTTCTATGTGATATATTATTATTAGTAAATTACTTTTTATCTGTGTGGTCTTCAATAACAATAATATTTTTAAAAGTTCAGTTAAATTTATTTCTTTCTATTGGAAGATTTCATGGTATTTAATATCTTATTTTTGTAAACAATTAATTAAGATGATAAGTAAACTTTTTTTACTATTAGAAATATGTTTACATTTAATTTTTTACTGATATCTTTATTTGATTAAATTTTATTTTATTAAAAAATAACATTTCCCCTCTTTTTATCAATTCAATTTCGTTGTTTTTAACTGTGCCTAACAAACATGTTTGAATGAATCATTCCATTCCTTGAAGTTAAAGCCAACCAAACATGATAACGGAATGTAATGATCCATTCCTTTGCTTTGCTTTGTGATTCCATCCCATCATACCAAAAAGACCCTTATATATTTGCATATATCAGCCTAAAAGTAACTTGCCTAAATGAGAACAGATTCCACAATTACAAACCTTACACTTGAAAGTTGAATGTGCATAGAATTTTTAAAGGGTTATCAATCATTGTTGATTTCATATATTTCCTGTCTACTAGCAGCAGTGTATTTGTTTAGTTTTGTCTCACTCACACTCACCATCTCATCTTCATATTTGAATTTGCAGTGCTTACACCACGTCACCAAGTCGATTAAAGATGTTTCCTGCTTTATGCAACTCCTTCAGGTAGGTATATATATGAGTTTAAGTAATTCTTGTATATACTATTACACTACACCATGTCATTAACACCTATTCTCACCATATAATACTAATTAGCCCTTGTTGTTTAGGTACCTGTTTGTGGTGTAATTTTGTAAGCGCGTCGATTTTTGTATTTTGGGACATATGATATGATATGATATAAATATATAGACTTGAGACTTGAGCTTGAGCTTGGTAGTTTGAGTTTAGTTACTCGCTAGGCAAGGCACTCCATCCATTATTCTTTCTTTCTGAGGCAGTAAGTAATTTTCACCCTTCAACTCATTTACTTATTATTATTATTATTGTTATTGTGAATGTAAAAAACAAACGACTATAGCATGTAATAGGGGTGGTGCGATTCCAGGTCACACAATTATTATATAGCTTGTTTTCATTAAATTGTAACACGTTTATTTCGACTTCCATTGTGTTTACTTTCTGACATCTTTTTCTCTTATCTTCTACATTTCATACATATTTAATACTCCCTCCGTCCCAAAATTATAGTCCATCTTTTCTTTTTGGTTTGTCCCAAAATAATAGTCAACTTCTAAAAATAATTAACATTTTTCCAAAATACCTCATCATTATTACTTAACCAACTAAGCATTTAATGGAACATTAAATGCAAAGTAAGGACAAAACTGTCATTTTATTAAATAAAGTTAGTGGTAATTAATGTTTTTCTTAATATGTGTGTTTTTTTTTGTCTGTAGATAATAATATTGGGACGGAAGGAGTATCTAACTTTGTTACAAAAGTAATATTGAAAAAATAATATAATGTTAAAAGAATCATTTAAAAAGTTGTACATATTCAAGTATGGTTTCGACGACTTTTAAACTGCCTGATCAGTTTAGTTGAAGTTTCTAATATATATATATATATATATATATATAGATATATATATATAGATATATATATATATATATATATATATATATATTAATTTGATATGTTAACAATAAAAATACAACTTCAAAAAAACCTATTTAATATAAAAATATGTTTAATTTATCTGTTGTGCTGGGTGTTGGTGGTCAAGATGACAAGATATGTTGTTACCTAAGGGGCTAGGGTTCATAAAGTAAACTGTTTTGTTTGGCTTTCATTTTTTTTTTTTTATTTGTTTGATTGTTGATTCTGACATATGCCCGATTTTATGATAAATAAATTCAGCAAGATTGCTTTTTCCTTTTTTTGACACGAATATATTCTTATACCAATAATATGTCTTCTAAGCAATCAGTTTTACATCAAACATGTTCAACCATCTTTAGCCGTCCACAAAGTGTCTTTTCTCAAACTTTGTATATTTGGTAAACAAAGTATTATATTTGTATATTTGCTTTTCGTGATCCCATAGTTTCTATAAATAAGTAACCCAAAGAGATATTCTAAGTAAACAAACCATTAAATTATAGTAGTCCACAAATCAATTTGAGTCAAGTTAAAATCAAACCAAAATCACATCTACTTCACAATTAGGGAGGTTTCCCTTCTAACCCATTGTCACATCAACTTCACATCATGTTTTGTTTGTCCACTCTCTTCCAATCCACAATACACGGAAACTCTATCTTTCCCAACCCATTCAACTCATTTGCCATATCATTATTTTTTATTTAATTAAATTAGAAAATATAAAATAAAATAAAACATATCATTTTTTCTTTAAAAATAAACTTTTGATAGTTTAAAACAAAAAAAAATAATCTAAAATAGTATTAAAAAGAACATTTAACTAATGTAATATCTTAATAAATGATAAATGTTTTGGTATTGTTTATATAAATGTTTTTGTATTGCTTATAAAAAAAGGAATGAAGAAAGGCAAACAAGAAAATTGGCAGCTTTGGTATTCCTTGGTCTTCCTCATGTGATGCATAAAATATATTATTTTCAAATTGCATGCATCATTGCATTAAACACCAAATGAATAGGTTCAAAGACCCGCTGACAACCAATAAATCACCAACCCGTTGCTCAAGGTATGGTTTGTCGACGGTACCCACGGTACCAACCCATCCCATCATCCAAATTATTTAGGACCCCGTATTCCGTTAGGAGGAGTTTGTTTCACATAACATAGCTAGATGGGAAGTGCTTGGATATAACCAAATGAAATTGGATTAAAAGAGATGGAAAAAATGAGATGAAAATGGATCGAAGGAGATGAAAATTGTACAAGCTTTCTAGCATTGTTTTCTATATTTTTATGATAAAAAGAAACAAGACATTCATGTCTTTTGTACAGACATAAGTCTGAGAGCTAATTTGCATCCAACCCTCTTGGATCAGACAAAAATTGCAATCTCTATTATGCTTAACAAACATGATCTTATGGCCACCATAGTAGTATGTCTGATATGTGAGACGTTTTGTTTGAGTTTTACCTATATGTCATCTAGATATTATTTGTTTATATATATATATATATATATATATATATATATATATATATATATATATATATATATATATATATATATATATATATAGAGAGAGAGAGAGAGAGACTAAACTGCACAAATGGTCCCTGTGGTTTGCTTAAAATTGTCACTTTGGTCCAAAAAAGTTTGGACTAGCACCAGAGGTCCAAAGTTTTCATTTTGTTGCTTGTTTGGTCCAATTTGTTTTGATTTTTTTTTTAAATGACGGATTTTCCCCTGTTAATATGATTTTCTCTTTTTTCTTATTTGTTTTTTCTGATTTTCAGATTTGAAAAAAATAATAATAATAAAAAATAAAAATAATCTCTCTCTCTCTCTCTCTCTACCACCCTCACTATTCATTACCTTCACCAACCTTCAACCTCAGTTGAACCTTTCATCTTCTATCACCACCCAAAGCCTCCCTTCTCCGTCTCCATTCCCACCACCGTGACCACCATCCCACCTTATACTACCACCAGACACAACCCAAAAACACCACCCTCATTTCTCTATTAGAGCCTACACTACCCAACATTAGCCACCACCGACCTTACAACCCATCATTTTCTCCATCAGGATCATCACACCACCATTGAAACACCATCGACTGTCATGAACACATAATGACCGCCAAATCACTAGCAACACCAAATCTACCAAAAAATAAGAATAAGAAATTAATCAGCAAATCTGTACGTCACCTGATCTGTTTGTCACCTACTTTCTCTTTTTTCTTGTCGGATCTGGAGAGACGAAGGTAAGGGCGTCGTTCAACACATACCATCGCTAGGGAGATGAAGATGATGGAGCAAGGGTTTTAGGTAGATGATAGTGGCGTTGAAACAAGAATAACCGATTAGGGTTTTCTGAAAACCCTAACTCGCCGCCGCCCTTCATCTTCTCTGGAACGTCGTCACAAAATCGCTAGGGTTTGCTGATGAAGAAAGCGGAGAAAGATGGAGATAGACGAGGCTTGCCGGAAGAACTGTGGTTTACAGATCTGGAGCTTTGTCGAGTTGTAGCGGAGTTTTTCAATTCGCCGGAAAAACGAAGGTTTACAGATATGGACAATGACGACAAGATTAAAGCAAGGGTTTACAGATGGACGGTGGTAGCGGAGACGATAGGGGCTGAAGGTGGAGCTGAAGGCGGTGGTGGCTGACGGCAACCACGGTGGTGGAGTCGACGATAAGGGGTTCTTGAGAACCTTGAAGAACAAATGAAGAAGGAGAGAGAGAGAGAGAGAGAGAGAGATTTATTTTTATTTTTTTTATTTTTTATTTTTTTTAAATCTAAAAATAAAAAAAAACAAATAAAAAAATAGAAAATCATATTAACAGGGGCAAATCCGTCAATTTTAAAAAAATCAAAACAGATTGGACCAAGAAAGCAACAAAATGAAAACTTTGGACCTCTTGTGCTAGTCCAAACTTTTTTGAACCAAAGTGACAATTTTGAGCAAACCACCGGGACCATTTGTGCAGTTTATATATATATATATTATATATATATATATATATATATATATTATATATATATATATATATATATTATATATATATATATATCATTAGTTTAAATTAGAGCTACAGTTTTTGATATTTTTATATATATTTAGGTCAACTTGAATTATATTTTATCTTTATCCAGTCAATTTATTAAAATTAAAAGAAAAAATCTGTTAAATAAGAAATATGTTAAACGGGTAAAATTGAAATTTGTCAAAAATGTATGTGAATAAAAATTATAAAAGGATGGGATTATGTGTGGACTCCTCTCCATATAATAACATTGAATATAAATAGTCACTAAAATGGAATATAAATTACATAAAGAGGGGATCACAAAGTATTTTTACATAAACAAAATTTGTTTTATTTTTATGGTGTGAAACTAGGTGTTAAATAGTTAATTTAAATAATTGAAAATATATAATTTAAATCGACAAGAAAGAATGAGACTCAATTCATGATTTTAACGTAAACGTACGAAAAATATAATTTATGTTTATTTAATTTTTTTCTATACACAACAATTGATGTTTTATAAAAATTATCCAATACAATACTTAAAAATTGAAAAATTAGGTAAAAAGCTCCCATACATTATTTGTAATTGCCAAACTCAAATAAGGTAAGATAGCACACATGGGCTTATGACTGAAAATATATCCTACACCTAATTCTGAAAGTCGGAAAATTAGGTAAATAAGGTTTTTAATAATTGCATTAAAGTATCATTACTATATTTGCTAAAAGCATAAAAATAACCACATATAGGATGTTTGGATGGCTATGTGATATAAATAGTTATTTAATTATTACCTTTTGGAGTTGTAAAATTGAATTTTTATGGATTAAGTACGAGGATTATGATTGCAATTATCTTATTAATTCAATTAAATAATTTATTCCATTTTAATTTTACCAATTATGGGGTTAATATACCATTTTCGCAAAAATGTGTATACTTATATGAAATCCAATCTAACTATAGGGGCGTTGGATCAATTTTACTCATTTTCTGCTGTCCTTTAATTCAAAAATATATATAAATAGCATTAGGAGGAATCGAAAAAGGCTAGGATGATTGATCACCGTGGCAGAACATTTTGCTCGTCAATCTAGGGTTCATATACCGACCCAAAGGAGCGGCGACACAACCGTGATAACGCAACCTCCCAACACCTCCAAGGTACCGATTTGTCTTCGTCTTCTTCATTATCGTTCGTCCTCTATTGTTTACTTGTTTGTTGTTCATTTTCCGTACCATTTCCGTCTATAGATTTTGGAATCGTTGGACGTGGTTGTTTTTCTGATGGATTATTGTATATCATTCTTGTTATATTGTGTGGTATTATGCAGGAAATGTTGTCAATCTTTGTTATCATGGTAATTTTGTTTTTGTGTAGTTTGTTGTTTACGCATTTGATGATATGTTTTGCCCTAGTGCTCGAGTTGTTGTTTATTTTGGTTTTTTTCCTTCTAAGATATTGGATAGTTCGACGATAATTTATCTAAAGAGGACTCTGCAAAGTTAGGTTATGGTGTTCAGATTGTGCTTTCATGTTGATTTCGTTGGGCTTTCATTAATGGCTTAAAACCTTCAAGAGAATCTATAATTGCTAATTTGCTATGGAAGAGAGGCACAAACACATTTGTAAATCTGTGTGGTGGCTGTGTATCCTGTTCAAAAATAAGATTCTTATAACCACCAACAAGGGGGCGTAGTGGTGATCACTTGGTATGAAACACCTCAAAATAGAGTTGACCCAAGTTTGAATCTCACATGCTTCAATCTTGTGGTGGCCCTTTGTTAAAAAACAAAGATTCTTATGCACTTACTGCAGGCTGGAAACTAATGAGGATCACAGTAGCATTTTTTGCTAGATTTATATGTATCGGTGCATTATATGTTTTCCACTAGTAGCTTGACACGTGCTAAAGTATAAATATCTACAGCACGAAAAGGTCCAGACCTTGGAAATGACCATCAGCTTTAGAAAACTGAGGAAAAGGACAGTCTTCTTTTGTTGTTAAACGTAGCAATTGGCTGGTATGTGTTTTTATAAATAGATATTTGAATGACATGTCACTACAAGACAACTTTTTTGATATTAGGTCAAGGTCTCTAAGTTTCGCCTATTTTGATTGGCTTCAGGAGGTTTACTTTAACGATTTAAAATTGTAATGACCATACTTTTATGAGATACTTTAGTTACTGTTGAAAAGGAAACACAAATGTGATTATAAACTTGTGGTTGGGTGCTTATTTTGTTCAAGAACAAGATTCTGATCGAATTTCCACAGTTAACATAATTATGAGGATATTCGTAGAGCATTATTGGTAGATTTATATGTTGTATCATTTCATATGGTTTCTACTTGTAGTTTGCACATGCTACTAGAGTAGAACATCTTCTTATTGGAATTTGTTTTTGCACCAATGAGGGTCTAGTGATTCAGTGGTTTTGAAAGTTAATTAACCCCTGGTGTATCAAAGATTAAGTATTAGCACCATAAAAGCTCAATATATTGGAAAACATGATCAACTTTGGAGGCTTTCTTTAGTGACTTAAGTGCTGTAACCAGATGAGGTATTCTATGTACTTTGGACAATGAAAAACAAACGAGTTTGTCAACCCTTGTGGTAGGCGTGTATCCTTTTCAAGAACTAGATTCTGATAAACATTCCACAGTTTGAGACAGAAATGATGATATAAGAGGTAGATGTAGGATTTCACTATTTTGCACTGAAATTGCGTTTGGTATATTGTAGTGCTTGGAAACATAATGTAATTATCTTGCCATAGAATGAGAAAATTATGTTTTGTTATTACACGATAATGCAATGTAGCTAGGACCTTCAAGTGGGTTGATTTTGTTTCCAATGAAAAGGGTTTTCTGTTATTTAACCATAGAACGTAAAGAAAAGTTACAATACAACTATCTTTATTTTTGTAGTCTTTAATAGAACGACCCCTCTAAAAACTATAAAACTCAGATTAACTTATAATAACTAGGGATATAATTATATTGTAATCTCGTTGAGCTTTTCATGAATTCATTTTTGATATCTAAATAAGAAGTTCGATAGTTTTTGCTATAAATTGTGTGCTAACTAGAAGTAAAACCATATGCCTTAGATAAAAGTTAATTTTTTTTTTACTGGAAACCACTATTTATCAGGTGTGAGATGAAAAGAAAATACAACCATATCAATTTGATTATTGGGGAGAGAGAATGAAAACAAGATTATCATATTTACATGTTCCTTTGATAATCATTTTTCAAGATTGTTATTAAATCCAGAAGTTATTACTTGTTTAGTACTAGCTAGCTTATTGTTGGAACTAGATTTTTAATTTTATTTACATTAAATGCAATTCTCTTTTAAGACAACCATTTCTTTGTATTCATCTTGCAGAGTCAGAGTTTTACTTGAATCCAGTAGGAAGGAACATAAAATCACGTGATGGGGGACACAGACAACTCAATTCCACCTTCCAAAAAACGAGCAGCCGGACGGGAACTATCCCGTGATAATCCCGGTCTTGATGATGAAGAAGAAGTTTCCGGACAAGAAAACGCTACTTTCAAAAGAGCAAGTGAAGAAGTCATTGCAAACCGAAGAATCGTAAAAGTCCGCCGTAGTCAACCTTCCTCTGCCCCTTCCACCAATCCTTTTGCAGCAATCCGCCTCGTACCCCCTCCGGACCCCACCCCCACTAATCCCCAAGAACCCGACAAAACATCCCCTGATAATCTCCAAGAACCTGGGAAAACAGCTCCCGAAGAAGTGGAGTCACCAAGTAGTGTGAATAAGGAAACAGAACCCGAAGGTGCGAGTGAGGTGAGAAAACCTGGACCAACCGATCCTGAACCCAAAAAAGACGAAAAGTTAGGAAATGACGAAAATACCCCTACCGCACCAGCATCTGTCAACTCATTCCAACAGCTTTCGAGTAGCCAAAACGCGTTCACGGGGCTTGTGGGGACGGGGTTTTCAAGTTCGACGTTTTCGTTCGGTTCGATTCCGAAAACCGACTCGCCGACTTTTCCTTCGTTTGGATTTGGAACAAATGGGAACTCGTCTTTGTTTGGGACACCTTCCGGAACATCTGACAAGCCTTCCGGAATTAAAATTCCAACTATGCAGGAAGTCCATGTGGAAACCGGTGAAGAAAACGAGAAGGCGGTTTTCACTGCGGATTCTGTTCTTTTTGAGTTTCTGGATGGCGGGTGGAAAGAGCGTGGGAAAGGGGAACTTAAAGTCAATGTTTTGACCACAGGGACGAAAAAAGCAAGACTTGTGATGAGGGCACGCGGGAATTATCGGTTGATTTTGAACGCGAGTATTTTTCCTGATATGAAGCTCACAAATATGGAGAAGAAAGGAATCACGTTTGCGTGTTTGAATAGTACGGGTGAGGGGCAAAATGGTCTTTCGACGTTTGCGTTGAAGTTTAAAGATCCAGCTATTGTTGATGAGTTCCGTGAGGTTGTTAACGAACACAAAGGAAACACCGGCGGTGGTGGTGGTGGTGCTGCTGCTGCGGTGCTCAAGACGCCGGAAAATTCTCCAAAAGCATCGGATGAGTAATAAGGTTAAAAAAAAGTATCATGTTTTATGTTTGGATCTTGTAGGGCAAAATCATATATGATAGTAGTGTCTATGTAAAAGCTGTTATACAGTGTATCCATTTTGTTGTTGTCTTTTGATGGACATTTGGGAGAATGAATAACTTAACTTTATTTAGGATTCAGTTGAGGCCAAAGTCTGGAGTCTTAAATGCTGCTATTAGATAGAGCAGAGTTGGGTTGAATGTTTCTCGTACATTGTGCAAATTGGTTTTTTATTATTAGTCTTAATTGCTTATTGATTGATGGCTTCTACCCTGCAAATTTTATCTCGGCTTTTGAGTGCCAATACAATCATGTCTGATGAAGCTCAATTTAGTTAAACGTGATTTTCCCACCCACTCGATGGAGATCTTTTTTGAGTTTGGTGATTTAATCACGTTTTTTTCTTTTTCCCAACCCTTATCTAAAACAAGATAATATAACCTTTATTATATTAATACCAATATATATGTATGCTAAGATCAAGCTATATAGTTAGTGCAACTTCTAGTATATTTCAAATGTTAAATATGAAATGTGTTTAATGATTACAATCTTAAATGAATGGGGTATAATCATGGGAATAACCGTTTAGTTGCATTAGTCGATCGTTATTCCTATGGTCAATTAAAAAGATAGAAAATTATTTCAATAGAATTCATTAGTAAACTAAAATAATCACTTTACTAATTTTTTTTACTAATCAACAAAATTATTCCATGTCCTTAGAGGTCTTTAACTCTTGCAATAAAAAAATTATTAAAAAGTTTATATATACAATTACCAATTTGTACCAACCAAACAAATTGATACTATAATATAATTGGTACCATACTAGTAGCAAATATTTGTACTGTACATGCTTTAGAAAAAAATAAATGATAAAAGAGACATTTTGGAATGTTTCAGTCATCACTAGGCCAAAGTTGATGGTTGACAAATATTAAAGTTATAGCATGCTTTAATTTTTATATCTTTTTTATGTTGTTTAAGTAAAAACTTGTCGATCCAAGATTATATGTGGCAAACTCTTGTAACATGCCATATCTGATCCAGTTACAAATAGAGTTGTTTTTGAATCTGAATGTAAAATTAAGCAGAAATCCTAATATATAATCTCGTTCGCAGCACATGATTCCAAATCTGCCACCTATTACAGATGAATACCTGTCTTTCATCAAGGATAAAAGCACACCAGACACCCCCAATCATTTAACTAAAAACCGAACCAAACTAAACCCACTACAATTCCAGTTTGGTTCCAAAACAGACAAGAGCTTTGTGATTTTATTAGTTTGAAAAATATGAATATTGAACAATGTAACTTCAAACTTTAAAACAAAAATAAATAGAAAAAAAAAAAAAAAAAAAAAAAAAAAAAAAAAAAAAAAACACTTTTTATAAACTTTACAAGCAAGAAACAAACTACACACATACGTGATAAATGATACATATACACATAAAGATAAATGTTGAAGATTATATATAAAAATGTGAAAATGAGTTACAGCCTTACAGGTGGGTAGCTACATGTTATTTTAACTAGTGGATACCTGGGTTTTTGTTTCACAAGCCATATGAAACTACAGTTTCAGAGTACATATCATTTTTCACATACTGATTACTAAGTAAGGCAGATTTTGAAATTGTTGCTTGAAATCTGATCATTTGTTCCAACCAAATTTAGGGTAATTGAGAGTTGGGGAAAGTGGGTCAAAGTCAATGCAGAGCGGTCAACTCAACAAGGTGTTTGTATTTGTCAGAGACAAAAGATTCCACCTTGAATCCACCCTCCTCCTTACTTGTTGGAGATAAATATTTCACACCGATAACTGTAGGCAGGCCTGCAACCAACCCATCCACATTTTTTCACATAAAATAGCCACCACATTATATATATATATATATATATATATATATATATTCAATTTTTTTTATGTCAAGTGATATGAAGTAAGATATGTTAAAAACGAAGTGCAAGTGTAAGTGTAAGTGTGCAATTACTGTTATGGACTCGAGCATATAAGAGTCTTTCTCCTTTCCAATATTCCAAAGGTCTCCTTTTAATTCTGCTGCTTCGTCTCACTCCAGATGTCCAAGAAGACCCCGCTCCTATCATAATCATCCCCATTATATCATAAATAAATAAATATGTTTGATTCATAATTTTTAACAAGGAACAGATGAAGAAACCTGCAAGGCTCTGGCGACGCTTTTTCGGATCAATCTTATTCTTCCGTGCTGCTATCTTCTTTCTCTTATTCGTTCTTGTCCTTGGATGCTCCTCCTATTTATAATATATATATATATATATATATATATATATTAAAGACTGTTTGTTAGTGTTACTCATAAGTCATAACACGCAATTTTTTGACTTTACAGCTGGCAATATATTTATATATAAGAAATAATAAAGTGGAAGGACATTGACTGACAACCTCATTTTGCTGTTGAGGAAGAATATCCAGAATTTGAGTGGGTGCACTAACATCCAGGTCCTGAATAGAGTTGGCATCCGTTTGAGCTGAAAAGGCATCAAAATCAATATGTCAACACTCCACTCCACAGTAATATTCTAGAAAAGGCTAAAAATTACAATCCCAAAAGCAAACTAAACATAACAGATGATGCACAAACTAAAAGTTACTTATCATGAACTAATAGGATTTCGAATGGAATGAAAATGAAGTTGAAATCCAGTATTTTGTAAAAAAAAATCTTGTTTCATTTTCAAAATCTATCACATTTCAAATCTACATATGACAAAACTATTCTTCACATTGAGATGATAAAGTAACTTCATCAGTAGTGATCATCAATAAGCAGTTTCACATTGAGATGATAAAGTTACTTCATATAATAATAATAAATAGAAAGCATACAATTAACAAGGGAAAGGTTCGAACAACATAAACCTGGTTGACTCAAATCCTCCACTTCAGAGACCTCAACATTTACTTCTGGTAAAGATGATGCTCCTGCTTTCTCTGTCACATCTTCAACCTGTTACGTCAATAAATGGGACATTTGTTATTAGTTACATTCAGTCAATCTTCAAAAACTTCTTGTAATTTGTAAAGCAGTTTTTAAACAGAACTTACATTCTCCTCAGTAATGTCCTCAACATTTAAATTAACTTCTGTAACAGATGATGTTTCTTGCACCATATCTGCAGCCTGCATAATATATCATAACCAATTGCATTCAGACTTACTTCTAAACTATGAAAATATATATATAACAAATATATATGATATAAGAAAACCTTACATTTCCATTTATGTCTTTGTTTGTTCGAACATCAGTTACATTGTCATCTGCATCCTTTTCTTCCATATTATGGTCCCTGTCTTCCATATCATCAGTGGCAGTTTCTGTAATATTCTCTTTTGCTAACAAGTGCAATGTGGCAGAAACCGGGAACTCCTTGTCCTTGCTGGCATGACTTGACCCTCCACCAATGATTTTAGTAGAAGTTATGGGAGGTGAATCGAGATCATGTGAGGAGAATGGATCCTTTGATACAATTGATTTCAGCATTTGTTTTCCTAATGCAGCAATTGCTGAAAATGGACTCCTAGGTGGCGTGGGGGAGCCTCCTAGAGATTGGAAATGGTTGTTAGATAACCCTATTTGTGCAGCAAGTGTTTTCCCTTTTGTAACATCTGGCAAAGCATGTGTATTAGTCAATATGCTCTCAGGGTTTTCTACTAAATTCTTGACTGGAGAAATAAAGTCAATTCTAGGAATTTCATGGAAGTCTGGAAGTTGTAATTCGTCTATATCAACAGATTTAATCTTCATACGGTCTTTTAAAAAGGATAATGCCTGATTTCCATCTAAATTGTGAATATTACTAGCCAATAATTCATCAAAGAGCTCCTGGACCCTGTTCTCGCTTTTACTTATTGATCCTGTTCACACAAAACACACAAATCGTGTAAGTTACATAGTATATTAAGAGTCTGTGATTATTGATCATTTAAAAAAACTTTTGGCCAAGTAACTTTGTTATTTCTTCCACTATGTCAACCACATCATGATCCTAAAGATTCTTTATCAACAACAACAAGAAGAAGAAGCAAAGATACTTACATAAATATACTGTATAATTATTAAACTTAGAAGGATCAACTTACCAGTTACTTCCTCTTCCTCACATTGATGATTGGGGGTGAAAGATTCTTGTTGTAAACACTGAGTAGGTTGACTTCCAATGTTGTCTTGCAATGTCTCTTGAGCAACTGATGTATCCTCTTGAGACTGACTGGAGTATTCATGATGCTTATAACTAACTTTTCTCCTGAAATATGAGTTCAAGATTACTCTATGAGAAATTACTAGGTAAAAAAAATCGGTAAAAAAGGCTAAACTGCTTATATCAATAATACCTAGGTATTTCTGGACGACGATGCCTAACAGTAGTGGCAGTTTCAACCTCATCTACATCTTCACCTCCTCTCTGTTTCTTGAGCTCTTTCTTGGTGTCTAGAAATCAATTTTAACTTGGTATTAGTAACTTGTGTGATATGAATATGATATCAACAAACATCATGAATACTGAAACACAAAGATTAGAGAAGAACAATGTACTTTCAAACTTTTCAAAGGCTGCAAAAAATTCTTCTGGATCCTGCAGATGATCAAGTTCAAGACTTGGCTCCAGGATTGTAGAAGACTGGCTGTCAACAGTGATGTGTGTTAAGCTAACTCCAGGTTTCTAGATTAAATGTTTATGTGGAAACACAAGAAAGTAGTATGTATAATAAACTTTACCTTGTATCAGGCTTCAAAGAGAACTTTGCACGCCTCCGGACCAAACCTGGTCTGTGTTGTTGAGGGTTTTCCTTCTCATTTATATCAGCTTCACTTTTCTTGGTTTTGAGGAATTCTAAACCACCATCTACAACCGACTTTGCTTTCTCAAAATGCTTATCAGGGCTTTGTAATGCCTTAAACAATGAAGAGACAATAAGTAACAAATTTAGATCACATAGTAATCTGCATGACACATTGTACACCCTACAGCAATTGAATGTGAACACACTTGTAATAATCAATACTCTCTCCAGAGCAAATTGGATTTATATTTTGTTTCAAAATCTGCCAGTCCAGTGAGAGTTGGCCCAGAAATTCCCAAATAACTCAAGTGACACAAAATCTTCTTCTATTAACTGATTAACTATCGAATTTCATTCGCCTAATGGTTAGGAATGGATACATTATACATTATCCTCTAATAACATACACAATAACATTCTGATTTTTTCTTAGTTTTATGAAGTCTGTCCCTCTAAATTTCCACTTCATAAATTCTCAAAAAGTTAAAGTAAAGGTGTGTCTTCTTAAATTTCTCCACAAGTAGATTATTTTTGTCAATTGTAGGTTAAAAAGTATTCATTTGACACCAAAATGTCAGCTTAAAGACTTTATGCAAACGGTAGGAGAACATAGTTTAAATGCTTCCAAAGATTGTTGCTTCTGAGAATGTTTAACCAGAAATAAATAGAAATCCACAAGCATAATCCGTATCTAAGAAGTTATGGTGATTTACAGCTCCAGATAATCAAAATGTACTACAATTTTGGCATGCATATTTTGAATCTAATAATATGAAAGCACTTTTAAACCATCACACGGGTTCCAACCCAACTCCCATGAAATAGACACATAATAAGAACATTGTGTGAAATTCGTATAAACCGCGTCCTGATGATCAACAGATCCAGATGATCCACCTCATCTACATGTTTGCTTATTCTCAGAAGTTATTATTGTGAAAGTAACACAGTCAAATCTAGTAACTCAAAAATCAAAAAAATCGAAACAAAACACCCTAAGCAGAAGTACTGTGCTCCCACACAACAATTAGCATAAATCATAACTGCTGAATGATTAAACTGTACAAAAAAGTTGCAGATGATCGAAAAAATTCACCATTGATTTCATATACTGGTGAACAGCTTCGAGGTCTTTGGATTTCAACGCATCGGTTGAAAGTCGAAGTGTTCGAGGATTTAGAGAGAGAACAGACTGTTCTTCAAATGGATCGACAAGATTGAAGCTCTGCGTTTGATTCATTGTTGCATTTTCGTGAATAAATTAAAACCCTAGAGAGGAGAGTTGATAGGGATTCGAAATTGTTAAGAGTGGCAGGCGGGAGGAGTGAGTCCGCACAAATTTTAAAGATTTTATGTCGACTTGTTAAAAAAAATAATAATAAATAAAAAATAAAATAAAGTCAAGTAAAAAAGAGAAAAATAAAGGAAAACAAAATTAATCATTTTGTTCTTTTCTTTTCAAATCGGAATGAAAGTTAGGAGGGAAAGTGATCATTCAATTTCTCTCTACTTCATTCATTTAGTAAAACTTGGGAACACCAATTTCTTTTGTTTTCTTCTCATTTCCACATATTCCTTTCCTTTCTCTCGTTAAGTTGAACTCGGAAACCGAAAACCTGAAAGTCCCGTATGAGTTCTCCACCCACATAACATTGTATAACATCAACTTTTAAATTTGTGTTTTTTTAAGAAGTCTTTATATTGGCCTTCATATTTGGTGATATTTGGTGATTTGGTGTTAAAGACAAAGTTGCAAGTTTGGTCCTTGTGGTATGTCAAAAATTGGATGTTTGGTCCAAAAAGTTTTGGGGTTACACCGCTGGTCCAAAAGGTTTGATTTGTTGTGGAATTGGTCCAAAGGCTTAATAGTCGTTTGTGCCCTCCGTTTGTGTGAGGGTATTTCTGTCCAAAAGGATTGATCTTGTAAATTATTTGTCAAATAAGGGTAACTTTTGAATAAATTAAATTCAAGTTTGATTCCACTTTGAGTGGTCAAAATAAGAACCCGGTTAGAAAGGGGTCAAGGGATTTTTTTTTGTTCGTCATTTGATCGATCGTCAAGGGGAACGCAAAGGAAACGAATACAGAACACGAAGGGAATAACGAAGGCATAATCGATCGGGAGGAAGAGGAGATTGGAACGGGAATGAACCGAAGGCAGTCAAGAAGAAGGCACATGAAGTCAGCGAAGGTTCGATCGTTCTTCTAGCTGAAGGAAGGGGGTCAGATGGCTTCCGATTTTTCGTCGATTGATTCACAATTGGTGATGGCCTCCGGGATTCGACTTAAGCCGAATAAGAGGAAGGGAAATGAGGAGGCAACAAGGGGTGTTAGGAGGTGGTAGTCGACGATTCATTCTTCTTCTACTCCAGTCGTGAGGTGCGATGGGGAAAAACGAAGGGCACGGTAGTAGCGACTGGCACCAGTGGAGGCTGTGTTTGGTGGTCAGGCAGCCACGAGGAGGGGAGGTGGAGGCGATCGGTCGTTGGCTGGGAGAAGCACCTCCGGTGCTTCACTATTTCGCAGAGGAGAAGACGAAAGCATCAATGGCGGCTTAAGGGCGCCTCTTCTGTATCGGCTGGAAGGTACAATGGTGAGGGATCAAAAGGGGGCTTGTCGCCTCCCGTGTTTGCTCTGGGGAACTGCACAGGGGATTTGCCGGTAGGTATCAATTAATTAGGAGGATGTGGTTTAATTTAATAAAATATTAAAAGAAGGGGTGTGAATTGACAGAAATACCCTCACACAAACGGAGGGCACAAACGGTTGTTAAGCCTTTGGACCAATTCCACAACAAATCAAACCTTTTGGACCACCGGTGCAACCCCAAAACTTTTTGGACCAAACATCCAATTTTTGACATACCACAAGGACCAAACTTGCAATTTTGTCGGTGTTAAAAGAAAGGGAAAATGACATATTAGCCTTATTATGTATTTTGACTTTGTTCATTCAGTCCCTAAAGTTTTTTTCGAGTCTTTTAAGGGAACAAATTGTTTTTTGTGGGGTCGATTTGATCATTTTGTAAGAATTGAAGGGGTCAACCGGTTACCCCTTTGCCGCATAGACTTTGACTTTGAAAACTCTCACCTCTTTTGACCTGACCCATCTTTTCTCCTCTAAACCCATGACTTGATTCACCCCTTCCACCACATGTGTCTTCTTCTTCTTCCTCCTCCCTCCTTATACCATATGAAGTGTAGCTTTCTTCCTCACCCATATCACAATTTCTTCCTAATTCACATCACAATTTCTTAATTACAATCAACGGGTACCAAAATATCGCAAAAACCATCATTGAAACGAAATCTTACGTGGAAAATCCACCAGGTTGAGAAGTACCATTGACGAAGAAAAGCAAAGTCGGATACCCGTTGATCTCAATATTCGAAGCTATTTTCGGGTACCTCTCAGCATCAATTTTCGCCATTAAAACGGGGCTCTTTATTTCATTTATAGAACTAGCAGCCTCTATAAACCTAGGCATGAGTTTAGTACTTCTAATGCACCAAGGAGCATAACCTAGAACCAAAACGTAATCATTTCCATCAATAGCCCTTTGAGTATTATCATTGTTGAGTTCAAGAACTAGAATGAGGTTTTGGAGCAGACACGATCGAGATTTGACCTAATTTCAAAGGTGGAAAGTTGGTACTGTTCAGATCACCCAGGATAAAAACCCTAAAATCGAATGTGTTCTTAAAGAAGACGATGAAACTCAACAGCAAGGATCGAAGAGAAAACAATACATAATGGACATCTACATTTTCTTTACGAGGATCAAATGTGTTCTTCCTCCTCCCTCATTTGTTGTGAATAAGCTACGAAAAGAAACGACAAAACATGGTCAAGGATTTGAGAGAGAATTGGAAGCAATGAAAGATTGGACGTCGTTCTTTATGGTACGAGTTTATACAGTTTTGACTTTTTTAGGTTGATTTTGACTTTAAAAGTTAAATTGATGACATGGATTCAGCCACGTGTCAACCATGTCATGATGAATGGACATATACATCTTCTTTATGATTATGTGGCATAGTGGACAGGTTATTATAGGTTAGATGGGTAAAATAAGCAGGTAAAAAAAAAAAAAAAAAACTTATGCCCTTATAGAAAAAAATTAAAGGACTGGATGAGCAAATGTGCAATACATTGTAGGACTAATGTGTCATCTTTCCTAAAAGAAGGCCAACATAAGAATGATGTTTGGCCTGACAATTCTCGACACGACCCGCGACACAACACGAAATAAACGGGTTTGGGTTGAGTTTTCCAACCCGTCAACCCGTTTATTAAACATGTCATATATGGGTTTTTCAAAAAATATATGGGTTGACCCGCCAACCCATTTAGAATTTTAATAAAATAAATTATATATTTTTTAAATGTATTAAGTATTATACACGATACAGTTTATACTTTATACTAGGATAGGATACCCGATACCATTAACCATTTGACATTTGGCGTTTGCCCTAACTAATCTCAGTATCTCACAAATAAAATCGAATAAGCCCTCTCTCACTCTCCCCTCTGCGATAAACGATAGAACAAACTCACGAAGAACGTCAGCATGAATGATTGAATCATTATCGAACAACGTCGACGCTTGAACGTGAACGACGAACACACAACACAGTAGATAATCAATTTGTTGCGATCCAACCTAAGAACACACGAACCCAAATCTAACCCACGAACCCAAATCTAACCCACGAACCTGCCAACCTTTGAACCCGTATAAATAAGTGGGTTGACGGGTCATATATGGGTTTGTGTTCCAAACCCGCCAACCTGTGACCTGTATAGTTAAATGGGTTCTGTTTGGGTTGGTATATTTTGACACGCCAACCCACCAACCCGCGACCCGCTAACCCGAACACGACACGATTGCCAGACCTAAATGATGTTAACTTTGAAGGTTAGATGGAGGATTTTTGGCCTCCAAAACACAAAAATGATGGTAAATGGAGGATAGTTGGAATTGCTCTAAAACCGTAAAAAAAATACTTACAAAAATACCAAATGTTTTTGCAAGAGATTTAGGTTGCATTTAATAACGGAAATAAGATTAATTTTCTGGAAAAAAAATTAGAATTTTTAAAAATGCATTTAGTTCAACATTTTTTCTATAATTTATCGTTTTCTAAAATAAAAATAAAAATAAAAAAAATTAAGAAACTAATAATTATTGTTTTTCATATTTTTATAATTCTAATTTTTTTTCAAAATATAAATAAACACACACTCCCAGTCCCTAACAACCCCCACCCTTACAAACACCCACACACACCCACCACCGTCATATTAATGCAATCATCAACCCACCGCCACTACGCCATCACAACCACCACCTTCGCCATCACCATCACAACGATAAATTTAAATATAAATCTACAAATACGGAAGATTCAATGTTCTTGTTACCAGGTTTTCCTAAATTTTCCGCCTATTTTGCGACATATAGTTGTGACATCCCCATTTTCACGGTCAGAAAAGACCGATTTTGTTTATGTTTTATAAAAATCAGAGTATCTCTTTTAATAAAAATGTTGCAGAATTTGTTCTCAGAAAAAAAAACATGGTAAATACGTTATCAAAACATTTCCGAAGAAACGTATTTTTTTATTCATTTTAAAACATTTGAGATGTCATCGTCAATACAGAAACATAAGCATAAACAGAACTTACAATCATTTACACTAGTGATCTACATCTCTTTAATCTCTCAGTGTAATGTAACTTCATATCGACACTTGTGATACAAATAAGCTTGAGTGAGTCAGGTTGGGAAACCTGGTGAGTACATAGGGTTTTCAACCCACAATAATATAATTATTATGTTTAATCATCAAACAGTTAACCCAATTACCCATCCCAATTATCTTCCTTACTCTTAAGGGTCTACCCTAAGAATTAACTATCCCTTATTCATTCATTCCTAAGGATCATCCTAAGGAATCGGCATGAAATCCATCGTTGACAGAGTTTACTCAACAGGCACTACGTCGCATAGTCGCTAGGGCTTAGACACTAAGTCTCATAGTCGCCAGGGTTTATACAACAGGCACTAAGCCGCATAGTCGCCAGGGTTTAGGCACTAAGTCTCATAGTCGCCAAGGTTTATCTCGTTTATCACCAGTATCGTTTTCGAGAATCCACTCGCAATACATGTCAGTGGGTTTTTAGTGTAACATCCAGACTCCCAGGTATCTTATTTTAAGTATTTACCTTGAGTTTTAGGGAGGGACTCGGCGAGTAGGCGCTCAGACTCGCCGAGTAGGATCGCGAATTATTGTCTGAATTAATGAGGG